AGCCGCCCGCCCTCCCCGTCGCTTCCTCTCAGGGCTGCGCCGGGCTGGGCGGGGGCTCCCGGCCGGCCCGCCGCCGCGCTGGGGGAGTCTGCCACTGTGAAGCGCGCGTGGTGTCGGGAGTTGGAATAGGCAAGAAACTCTTTTACAACTCCATTTTGCCTTTTACATTGAATGTGGATCATTAATCACCGTTTTATACCGGGTGAAGACAGTGAGGCTTTGGGTGGATTTTCTGTTTTCAATGCCGTATTCTTAGAGATTGTGTAAGTAAATGATTGTTTTGAAATCTTAGCGGTGAAGACTGTATGGGGGGAAGGTATTTTCCAGTTGAAAAAACATTGTAAAAATAATTTGGAGAGGTTGCATCGATATAGATGCATTTCTACTTAAAGTTACTGCTTTAATTAGGAATCACTTACAGATGGGTTCCCTTTTCAGGTCGTTTTCTTGAAATTGTACTTTTTGCACCCAAATATTTTTTGTTTGTTTTTGTTTTTTTGATTTGTTTAGTAGCATAAAGTGGGAAATTGGCATCTTTTTTTTTTTGTCCCACAATTGGTTCTACTTGTATTTTCTAATAGTCCTCACTAAGAATTTTAACCTCTGTTGGTTATTCATATGGTTCTTTCTGTCTTCTGACATTCTTTTGAAATAAGTGTTGTTTTGCAGGTTATATATAACCAGATTATATTCCTCTGGCAAACCTGGAGGGATGGGAAACTCAATGTAGTATGTGGTGAGAATTTTCAGCCATTAAGTGTCACATGTCCAAGTGTGAATGTACCGTGTGGATGGTTTCTCACCATCCACATGGTTATCTTGGTAGTGATACTGTCTGGAACATTTAACACAAGTATCCTTGTTAACTTAAAATACAAGGCTAGGTCTTACTATTGAAGGCTCTCAGAACTATTGTGAGAATTTGTCTACTTAGGTGTTTCTTAGGGGCATAAAATATATAGAGAGCTTGTGTTTTCTATTTTATTTTTTTTTTCTCTTTGGTGCTTGAAATTAAACTCAGGGCTTGGGGCATAGTGAGCAGGTGCTATATCTCTGAGCTTTATTCCAGCCCTATAACTAACTGAGTCAAAAGTCAAGTGTTCAACTTACAATGCCGCTACCCAGAAATCTCCTGGAGAAGGAAAATCTGCCAACTTTCCCCCATATAGACTGGAAAAGATTTAAAGGATTTATAGGCTGACTCCATTTGTAGGCGTGGAGACTGAGTTCAGGGACTTTTTTCAAGAGAAAGGTTTATTAGCACTCTGCAGAGAGAACAGTGGGAGAGACCCCTGCCTACTACTTAAGAGAAATGGACACAGAGTCTGACTTGAGCGCTGGAACTTGATTTGTAGATCTAGCTGTCCTGCTTCTGCCTTCTGAATAGTGCTGGGATGTGTACCACCGTTCCTGGTGAGCGTTAAAAATTTTGAAGGTCATATGTCTAGTTAGACTAAAACTACTTTTCTATCTGAAAAAAAAAGTCCTCCGTGTACTCTCGGCTAAAATCAGGGTTCCTGATTACTCTCTTGCTGTTCTTCACCTTGCAGATTGTGCGTATTTAGGGAGAATCTGGTCAGTTCACTTGCCAAACAAATTTCTAGTTTTTTGGGGTTTTTTTGGTTTTTGGAGACAGGGTTTCTCTGTGGCTTTGGAGGCTGTCCTGGAACTAGCTCTTGTAGACCAGGCTGGTCTCGAACTCACAGAGATCCGCCTGCCTCTGCCTCCTGAGTGCTGGGGTTAAAGGCGAGCGCCACCAATGCCCGTCTAAATTTCTAGTTTTTGTACATAGCCCTTTTCTGGCTTAGCCTTGTCTTTGAGTTTGTTGATTTTCTTGAGGACCCAGCCTCTGGGAGTTGACTGTTAACAAAGACAACATAATGAGGTCCCCCTAGAATGTCTTCAGGCTACTATAGCCCCTTTGACTAGATTTTAACTTGAACTGGTGAGAATGCACAAATCACATACATAAGCAGTGGTCTGTGCAGTGTGTGAGAATGGTTTTGTTGGAGTGTTTTCATAGTCCTTATTCTTTGTTCATCATTAATCCTTTTAACAGCCCATCCTCTCTATTAGCGGTGTAAATTTTTAGAAGAGTAAAATGTTCAGGTGTTTCTTAGTCCATGGGGTGGGGTGGAAGTAGGAGGAGGAGGAGGTTAACCTTGAGAGATTGGCTAACCTTGTTGCAAGACTGACTTGAGATTAGTGGGTTCTGTAGACAGTACATTTGGTTCCATGGCGTTATAACTGCTAGCAATGATGGCATGCTGTGTACAAATGCTGAATTTAAAAACTGGAAGTAGGTGAGGTGAGAAACCTATAATTGCAGTACTCCAGGAGGTAGGATTGTTAATTTGAGGCCCGCCTGGGCTATATAACAAAATCCTGTCTCAAAAAAAAAGTTCCTAGTAATGTTCTTCTCTCCTCTTTATGTTTCTACCCAGTAGAACTCAGATGTTGCTCCAAAGCATTAGTTATGTTACTTAACTATTTTTTGTGGTACTGAGAATTGTACCCAACTTTGATGCTAGGCAAGCGTTCTGTTGCTTAGCTATATACTATTAGCCTCTATATATTTTAATTAATGGGTTGATAACCTTTCAGCCGGAGGCTTGAGCCCAGAGCATTACACATACTTGCAAGGGCTCTGCTACTGAAGTATATCCCCAACCCTGATTTTACTTTTGTTTTGAGATAGTCTCATTACACTGTTAGGGTATGACCATGAACTCATCAGCAGCCTAGGCTAGTCTTGAACTTCCAACCTTCCTCAGTCTTCCCAGTAACTAGGATTCCAGGCCTATGCCATCAGGCTCAGATGTAACTATATTTTGTTATTATTTTTATGAGACAGTTTCACTCTATAGGTGATGCTGGCCTGGAAACTCACTATATAGCCCAGGCTGGTCTTGAACTTATTAGCAGTTCTTCCTTAGCTTAGCCCTCCTAAGTGCTGGGGTTGTAGGTGTGAACCTATCTTTTAACATTTAGGCATGTAACTTACTGGTGTGTTTTGGTTACATTAGATATTTGTGACAATAAATTTCAAAAGTAGTTTGAAGTTAGTAATTATTATAAAATCCCTCCCCTCCCCTAATAAGGTTTCTCTGTGTAACCCTGGCCATGTTGGAACTTGCTCTGTAGACCAGGCTAGCTGCAACTCAGAGATCCTACCTGCCTCCCAAGAGCTGGGATTACAGGGGTTTTGCACTACCACCCAGCTGTAAAATCCCTATTTCAAGTGACTTCTTGTTTGATTTTGAGACAGTCTTATGTGGAGCTCTGTCTGGCGTGGCACTCTGTAGTTCAGGCTGGCCTCACAATTGAGGCAGTCTCCCTAGTGCAGGGATTACGTGTAAACTACCATTCCTGACTCATTTTAACCTATGGTGCTGTAGTATTTTAAGGGAAGGCTTGTTTTGTTTTTTTGTTTTTGTTTTTACTTTTTCGAGACAGGGTTTCACTGTGTAGCTTTGGAGCCTATCGAATGTAGATCAGGCTGGCCTCGAACTCAGAGATCCCCCTGCCTCTGCCTCCTGAGTGTTGGGATTAAAGGCGTGTCCACCAATGCCTGGCTTAAGGGAAGGCTTGTATATTCTTAATTATGCAAACCATGTAAGTGAAAACAAGGTAGGCAATAAAGCTGCTTATTCTGGGTGTTGGTTTCAGCTTATTGGTATTTGCTCCGAATGATTCTAGATGTACTTATTTTTCTTTTGACTGTGCCCTTTTATACTAAGTGATCAGAGTGTGATATGCAGGATTATTAAATTGTAACTAATTTGCAGTTCATGCCAAACTGAAGTTTATTTGGGGAGAGAAGTTGGGGTATATTTTGAGAAGGGATCTTGTTAATAAAGGTAGGTTGGGCTTAAAATCATGTCAGTCCTTTGCTTCCACCTCCCAAGTGCTGGCAATATTTAGCATCTGCCACCACAATTTCTTTTCCCCTGTTGGGAAGATAGAGTAAATATATTCAGGTTTATTTATGATAGTATCTTTAATTCAAGTGATGGTAAGAGGAGAAGAAGCAGCTAATGAAACAGTGGGAGGTAAAATGAGTTTAGAGAGATGGGCAGGGGCCAGATCCTATACTATCTTTAGGATATAAGAAATGCTTTGAGTTTGTTATTTTTGTTTATTTTTTCCTTTTGGGTTGTTTGTTTTCAGTTTTGTGGGGTTTTGTTTTGTTTTGTTTTTTTTGTTTTTTGTTTTTTTCCCTGAGGCAGGGTTTCTCTGTTTAACAGCTTTGGCTGTCCTGGAACTCGATCTTCAGACCAAGCTGGCCTCAAACTCACAGAGATTTGCCTGCTTTTTGAGTGCTGGCATCAAAGGTGTGTGCCACCATGCCTGGCTCCCTTCAGCTGAATCTTGTAGAAGCATTTTCTCAATTGAGGTTCCCTCCTCTCTGAAAACTGTAGATTGTGTCAAGCTGGCATAAAACTAGTCAGCACAGGGCACTTGTAAAGAACTTGCTTATTGTGTATAAGGACCTGAGTTGGACTTCAGTA